CCACGCGGTGTAATTAGACCCGGTGAAAATTGGCGGATGATTGATAGCTGCATGACCGAAGGAACCAGAAGCCATTTTTGGATCGAAACCCTTGGCAGTAGTTAGCTTCGTCAAGGACCAGCTCTGATACCAATTGTAGAGAAGATTTGAGAGCAATTTAGGGAATTAGGGTTCAAGAAGAACACCCGATTTCAGAGAGGAGATCGAGAGTCAAAGGAAGGGAAGATGAATCTTGATTTTGTACTCTGATAAAGTGGGCCGAAAAGAACGGGCCCGTGTAAAATACTATAAGGGAATCAGCTTTGATTGAGTTTAAGAAAATGGGCTTCAAGCCCAGCTTTTCTTCTTCTCAAACACGATTCACCAGACTCTGCTGCACTTCAACCGAAACAGAGCAAGGAACAGAGTTCCTCAAGGTGAACACTTGAAATTGCAGAAGGTAAAGAGCAGAGAAGCTTAATGAGCACAGGAAATTTTTAACGTGGTTCGCCCTTGTGCAATGGTCTACTTCCACGTCCTAGAATATGGTATGGGAGGCCTTTTATTAACTATGAAATTTGTGAACAGAAATAACCACAAAGCAAGAATCAAAATAAGAATGAGAAGAAGGAAATGAAAAACCAGATCAGCCTCCGATCTGTTTCTGCCTTGGCAAAAGTTGAACCTGTGCCTCAACCTTTTGCCAACCCCTTTTGCAATCCCAGAGCTCAGCCCTTTACCACAGTAGCTCTTACAAAAGTGTGTCGAACAGCAGCAGTTACCCTGCATATATAGTCTCTCCAATAGACTAGCCGTTGGAGTCAGAGAAGGTAAGTTCCTAATGACAGGCTGCTGTTTCCTTTTGAGGTTCCTGTGATTGAGCTGCAAGAAAGCAACAATAAAAGTAGACAATCTCCAACTTGATTTGTCCTGCTTAGTTCAACATGGGGGTCATTGCTGGATCTTCCCCTTTGGTGGTCGACGTAGGTAAGGTTTCTCCGATCTCAATTTCGGTGGCTCCTTTGACGACGCCAACATTAATTGAGTTTCCTTTTTAATCTGCTATTTTTTAGGGCCGATTGATTAATCATTGGTTACTGCTCCATTATCATTTATTTATTTCCAGTTATGGGACTAATTAGAGTCATAAATACATTTTGCCTCTAACGTATCTTACCAATTTGAATCATTTTTGTTAATTCTTTCCTTCCTTTTTCGTCAGGGTGTACTATGAATCACCACTATTATCCATTGCTTATAATTACAGGTTTTGCATTTCTCTTATTATATTATTTATTAGTACTACTGGTATTATTAATTGTTTGTGACTGATTATGTTACGTTTTAATTTTCTATAATGGATTTTATCCTCAATTACCATTGAGGTTGTTCATTTTTCTTAATGACAAATTCTAAATCTTTAGATATACATTTTTAGCACTATAGTGGATTCTTTTGAGTTCACGTTGTAGGGAAATCTTATCGTTATTATCAGTGTTATTAAAGCCGAGCCGCTCGCCCCGACCGGTAAAACCGTCACCCGGTCACAAAACCGACTCGGAACAGTCTAAAAGCCGCTCCGGTTTTATGTAGCGGTTGGCGAGCGGCCGAGGCGGTTAACCGTTCGAGCCGATCGAGCCGCTCGTCCAGTTTTTGCCATTCAGCCACTAAATTTAATTAAAAAAATTGTAGAAAATTGAAAATTGAAATAAACAAAAAACGTCGGGCTCTCAAATTGAATCCTTATTTCCATTTCACAATTTCGAAGGAAAGAGATGAGCTCTGATTAAGAAATGTCCACTATTTATACTGATAACGTTTATTAGATACTGGTTCTCTAACGGTTTTTAAACGGTCTCATGCCGGTTGGACCGCTAAAGTGCGAGTCGTTCGCATTACCGGGTCATTCTCTGGTTCGATTCTGACAACATTGGTTATTATGATACATGAATAACGTGCAATCGACCTCATCTGTCTATCAGTTAAGGTCATTTGTTCTTGTTGAATTATACATGATATTAGCGATGCCTTTTAGATGGTGACACATCATTATGTCTTATCTTTTTCTTTCGAGGAAATTATTAACTGACCATAAGATGCTCCGGAGAGGATGTCTTCCCATTCGAGAGCCGACTCCATTATATAGGAAGTTCTTATTTCTCTCTTCTCACTCCCTGTGTCAGTTTCGTGTCACTTATGCTTCTCAGAGTTTCAGAGAGTTGCCCACCTCGTGGCATAACATGTTTTTTTCATCGGGAGTTCGGTTGTATACGAACTATCGTTCTTTAATTATTATTGTATATTTTGTTGTTGTTGTTGTCCGGCCATGCCCTGGGGGCTTATCTTGGATAAAAAAAAATATAATAGGTCTAATTTGGACTCAAACTAAATAGTCGTTTATTGGTATGAACTTCAAGTGATATTACCAAATATGATTTGACCGGTAATGAATTGGGTTTGGGAATGATGTTTCTTTGCAATTCATAGTGGAGGAAATTTTTTAGGCCACGTTTGGCATTAGTTGTTCATTCACCACTACATCCAACGCTAATCACTTTCTTATAAGACTTTTTAATTTACTGCGAAATGATATGATCTAAATTCCTTTAGTTTTGGGTTTCAAAATAGTAAATATGCAATCACTTATTTACATAGTTTCCATCTCCTACTTTTAAATGTGTGAAATTTAAAGTTTCTTTATCTAAATTTCATAGCAAAATATGAACCTGTAAACATTGGCATAGGTGAGTGAACAACTAAAGATCACAATGATTGTAGCTTTAGTGGTATGGAGGTATATTTGAGCTCATAAATCAATTAACTGCATCTCATCTTTCATTGAAAACTAGGCGTTGGGTAGAGACTTTACAGGAAGCGTTGTGCTAACCTGCACACCACAGTGATCTGAGAAATTCGAAGGAAAAGACTCCATTCCACAATTCTGAAACTTTTCAACTCAGTCCAAATTCACCAGTGCTCTGTCCAACTTCTTGGCTATAGGATTATTAGCTTGTCTATTAGTCCATGTATATTGAGGCCTGTAGTTTGATAATCCAGCAATTCCATATCCCCAATCTACTTACTGAACTCTTCCATACTAGGTGTCAAAGACCTCTGATTATGTGTTTCCTCTGGGGAACGAACAGTATTGAAATCTCCCCCAACAATCCAGGGTCTACCCACAACCTTTAGCCTTGCAATCTCTGCATAAGTACTCTGTCATTCAGCTTCATCATTAGAAGCATAGACATCAGTCAAGAAGAAACAATCCCTGTTTATATCTTCCACCAAACAATGAACAAAATTTTTCCAGACTTGATTACCCTAATTTTGATTGTCGGATCCCAAAACAGCCAGACACGTCCTAGCTTCGAGTCCATAAACTTAAGACATTTCTCCCATCCATCAAAAACCTCGGCCACAGCCCCCTTTGCCTTAGCTGCCTTTATTCTAGTTTCAAGTACTCCAACTACATCTACTTTATTTCTATGTAGGACTTGCAAGAAGTCCCTTTGGTTGGGGGTTTTATTGAACCCCCTCACATTCCATAATAGAATTATCATTTTAAGGTAGGAGGTTTTCCTCCACCCTTCTTTGGATCTTTTTCACCTCCTTTTTCCTTGGAACTTTTGGCATCTTACCTGTCTCTTTGTCACCAAGCTTGTTAAGCACACTAAATGATGAAGATGAAACCTGTATGGAGCTTGCAGAACTTCCTTGAGACCAAACTCTAGGTTTAGCCCCATTAACCACTCTTTGGAACTCATCATTCGAGGGTAGCTTAAGCAACGAAGAGCCTGCCACCGCCTGAAATGAAGCCTCCAAATTCTGCGGAACAATCCGTACTCCATCTAGCATTATTGGACTAGAAAATATAGCCGTCAGCTAAGGATCAACATCAGAACTCACCACTTCCTTATCCTTTCCACTGCCCTCTTGATGATCCTTAACAACAGTATGAGTTATCACCTTCTCAACCTTATCTCTCTGTTCACGATTTATAGCTGAAACATCCTTAGCCACTTGCTCCAGCTTAGCTACCCACTGCTTTCCCTGGTGAGATGCACAAGACCCTGCTATCCCAAATAGATGGTAAACATGACACACTGGAGGCAAGTCTCTTTGTAAGTGAATTTATTTGAATATTTAACGTGTTACTATTTAAAATAGTTAAATCTAGTATAAAAATCCCTTCTCAATGCATCCTCCTAACTCGATTTGTCTTGATATTTGTAGTTGGCTTTTGGTCACTATGTGAACATGATCATCTTTAAAAGAAGGAGGTCCGATTGACGAAGAGGGGAACCCTAACGTTCCTTTAGGTTTTGAAGAAGAGGTGGATCTCTGTGCAGACGACAAACGCTCTAGTGGCTGTTCATGCCAGTTTCATGACCGTCGGTTGAATCAGGTTCATCCTACTTGCTTGACCGGACCAACGGGGTAAACCGGGTTGACAACCTTGAAAAGAAGGGGAAGAATTGATGAGAAATAATTTCTTAAAGGAAAGAAAAATACATAAACAATTGAAATGCTATCAAAATATTAATCAATTGCTAAGCAATTCTTAATTATTAAAAAACTCCTTTTGATGATAAAGTTTTGAAATCCTTCTTTTTTAATATCTTCATTAATATATCTTAACTAAAGAACAGAAAAGAGTTTGCGAATCTCAACAAGTATATACTTCTTTATGCCACATTTGAGTTCACCAGCAGCAACGTTAGTGAATTTACTCTTAGTTGGATGTTTAGTTTTCAATCGTTCTCTACCGCCAGTTTTGGTTTGCCCCATGAAGTCAACTGGAAATGAAACATTCGACCAAGAGTAAAGCAAACATTAGCTCCTTGCATGCCCTTCCGTGAGTAATGGAAAGGAAGACGTTGCTTGTCCTTGTTCACCATTAACTTAGGGAAAGAAGCCTCCCAAGTGCTACGTACCTCGCCGCCATTCCCCACTTTCCCCGCGTCAACGCCTTAGGCCTTAGCTATAAATCCAAACTCCAACTCCATTTCCTTGTCAACACACAAACCAAAAGGCAACACCTATCAACTCGATCATCAACTTCATAGCATTCTCATCAATACGTACCACTGCTAGCTAGCTATATATCCCGCCCACCATGGCGACCTTTCTGATGAAGACGATCCTGCTCATATTCGTCGTAGCCACCACGGAAACAGAGGCTGCTACTACTACTACTACCAAGCCGTCCCAGAGGCTGAGCCGCTTCCTCAAAGACGAGACCACCGTCGACGGAACCCCAGGGTACGGAGGCAACAACGGCAACGGCGGCGGAGGCATCGGGCAGACCAAGAACCCGAGGGCGGCGGACCACTGCAACAAGGACCCGGGGCTGTGCCAGGAGCTGTACGGGAAGGACTTCGACTGCTGCAACAACAAGTGCATCGACGTCACCGCCGACAAGCAGAACTGCGGCGGGTGCAAGAACAAGTGCGCCTTCAAGGACGACTGCTGCGGCGGCCAGTGCGTTTATCTATCTCTCGACAAGCGCCACTGCGGCAAGTGCAACGCTCCTTGCGCCAGCCCGCAGCTCTGCGTCTACGGCATGTGCAACTACCCTTGAATGAAGCTCTCGATCGATCGATTTACACAACTATATATTAACAGAAAATGATCACACTATTGAAATGTCATAACTATTCTTTTTGGTCGAAAAAATGTCGTCATAAATATTTTGTACGTATGTAACTAACTAATACTTGTCGAAATATATTATATCATAATTTGGTATATAATTGCAATATAAAAATGTCATAAAAATTTATTATTAGATGCGTTTGATATGTATCAAAGACATTGTCTCATAATTTGATTTTTGACATCACTAGCTAGTGACAACCTAGAAGCTCTTGTCGATTAAGGGAGCTAGAACGACTTTAACCAATTCTGTTGAACATAATCTATCTATCTATCTACTATAGAGTGAAAGTAGGAAGGACATTTTAGTATTCACAATTACTTTTTTTTATTCATTAAAAAGTCACATACTGAGATTCTAACCATGATCATTTTAAAGAAAAGCAAAGATCATAACCAATCACTCTAAGTACATTTGTTGTATCTTTTTAAATTAAAAACATATAATAGCAGGGAGGAAAAAACTCTTCCTCATTTCAAATTCCCTGCTCCAGGAGCGTTTGTAGGAAGGGTAGAATAGGGAGTGTCAATTTTTTCTCTTTTCTCTGTGGAATGGGCCAACTTACGGTACACATGCGGATTTAAATGGGTCCAGGAGTGTCAATTTTTTTATTTGAGCCCTTTTATTTCTCTGTGGTGATAAAATATATATGAAAAGGAATAAACCAGTGTTATCAAAACCGGACCAGGCATCAATTCGGATTAGCGAGAGTTTTAAGGTTTATCGGATAACTAGCGATTAACCGATATATAACCGGTCATAAAACCGGTAACATACAAATCTTTTAATTAAAATAATCATACCTTAGTTGAACATTTTAAAAGCGGTAGTAGTTTTGAAATTATGAACTCTGTATCTCATATACATATTCAATTATTACAATTCAATAATAAAAAGTTAACCATAGTGATTATAAATAATAAAGCGTAATTCTTGATGGAGTTGATTGGGTTTATTTTTTATTGGGAAATAGATGTAGGCAATTGTTGAAGAAGAAGGGAAAAGAGAGAAAGGAACAGACAAATTCAGAAATGGAAAAGTGTTTTGTTGCTAGGGGTGACAAACGCTTAGTCGGTAAACGGTTTACCGTTTTACCGAATCGGTAACCGACAGTAAATGGTAAACCGTTTACCAGCGGTATCGGCAGTCGAGGGTCAAATGGGGAAGCTCGGTTTATCAGCCCCAGTATCGGTAAATACCGACGGTAATTCGGTAATACCGATACCGGACCAGTTAAGGCATTAACTAATAACATATACTTCATTATTCACAAATATTACATACATGAATGAAAGTAAGTAAGTATAGGCCTCAAAAATATTATAAATAAGAGTTAATAATAATTTATTAATTAAAAAAATGAAGAAAAAACTCATAAAAATCAAACTATTACAACATCACTCCATTGCTCAGAAATTCGGTTCGGTAATTTTCTGGTAAAGCGAACCGAAAAACCGTCTGCAACTACTCTTTACGGTAAGTCGGTAAAACCGGTTTGTAACCCTTTACCGGTAATTCGGTAACCAGTAAACCGGTTACAAACCGGTATCGATAATAGATTCCCACTTACCCACACTCGATATACCGAAAATCGGTAAAGTCGGTAACCGGTTTGTTGCTACTTGCTGGGCTAGGATTTAGGAATAGAAGTAAATGTTCCCTTTCCCTTACCATTTTTTCCTTTTATTCTCTTTCTTTTTTTAGTTTCTTATGTTAGGTAAGTTCATATTTTTATAAAAGGAAAGACAACTTTAAAGGTAAAAGTCATCAAAACCGCCGGTTCGAGTTTGCCGATTCTGCCGGTTATCTAGGTGAACCGGTTAATATCCGGCCGGCCATATTTAATATCGTTTTGCACTGTAGAGACCGGGATCATGAACGAGTCCGGTTTTTCGGTCAGACCGGCCGGTCCGGGCCGGTTTTGACAACAGTGGAAAAAAATACTCCTTTTTATTGCTGAAAATAAAAAATTTAACAATAAACTAATGCATGGCATCTAATGGGCTAACCGCTAACCATAAAATAAAAGAGTTGAATGAGCCTGACCTACACGGGATTTGGTCATCAAGTAAAACAAATGAACATCATTGGTTTGCCATTCTAAAATAGCTATTTTCTCTGGCATAATATATATTATGCTATTATTTTATATCTTAGTGGCTAAAATATAATGTATTTTAAATTTATTCAATGGTTCAACCTCGACCAACCCAATTAGTCCAATTTTTATCATTTCAAATATATATATATTATAATTATTTGATATCATAATGATCAAATTATAGTGTATTTTATAGGGAATCGTTTGGTATTTGTTAGTAAAAAACTAAAAAGAAATATCTATTTGGTTATTTTAAACATTAAAACGACCCTAAACATTTTAAGTTCCTTTTAAAATTCTATGGTTTTATTCCCGAATAAGTGATGTGCAAATGGCGAATTACAGTCATCTCTTTTATTTCACTATTTTTTATTTTCAAATAGAAAGTTTAAAAGTAAAGAATAATTAGAATTTGGCATGGGTCGGTCAAACAGGCTGAATTTCAAGTTTTGGCCCGTTTTGATCAAGTCTAATTTCTAATCACATGGTTCCCTGATACACGATAAAAAACTCAATCCAAACCACTTTGGTAGGTGAGTCCGTGTTTACCACCATTTTCTAGGGATACGACAACGGCAGTTCCTATCCCGAATCGTGTTGTTCGTTCTTGATTTCCTTAGATTTTATCATGGCCTGACAAAAACCAGAAAGCACAATGACGACAAGATGAAAGTTTTATAAAGCAAATTAATCGGCCAACGGGCCGAGTAAAAGCTAGCAACGATTGTGAGATGCTCATTTCCCGAAAACCGACGAGATAGGCGATTTTTATTCGATTTTCTGAAATTTGGTTTCAATAAAACTTACTCCATCTCATCATATTACCAGAAATAATATTGTTTCACAAGGTACGTAACAGGTACTTGATTTTGGTTCATAAGGCCGATTTTTGATTCGTTGCATCATTCATGTCTCTTTCCTGCTAAAATTCACTATTTTTATCACGTGTTTCCCAAATAAACTGTACAACAATAAGCTATACACCTCATTACATTATCAAATTTCATACCTCACCTTCCTCCGGCCAACTGGCCGGGTTCCACACTGGTTTCTTATGATAATCGAAATTCTTGTAGCTAGTTTTCAATATTTATGATTGAAATGAATCCTGAGATTTTTTTTCCAAATAATAATGAAAGAACCATCCGTAATGTGGGAAAATTCTTGAAGATCGATGCTTGAACGCTCTCAGCCAATGGACATTTTTAATGTTTTCTATGAAAGACTTCATAAGTACAAAAAAGGGTCTAAAGACTAAAAGGAATAAATAATGCTTATTGTTTTGACATTTTCAATCATATCAGAGTTAGAAAAAGAGCTTGCATTTGCTGAGAGGATAACTTTGTATGATCAAAGTGAAGGCAATGTGGGCATAGATAGAGTTGCAAGTATACATGGGCGTTGGGTCGTGCTTGGGCCGGCACGGCACGGGCACGCTTCGAGTCCATTTATTTTGTGTTGTGCCATGCAAGCCCATTTGTTAATTTTGCTAGGCCCGGCCCAGGCCCGGGCACGGTTCGAATCTTGTCGTGCCTATTCGTGCACTTGTCATGCTCGTATTCGTGTTTAATGAAAATGACGAAAACAAAAGAGAGAATTAAAAAGAAGGTGAAAATTGGACGGAGGAAGATAGTATTAACCGATAATGTTTGAGAAAAGTAACAAATAAGGGGGAAAAGAAAATTAGAGGGTTAATATTTTCGTATGGCATGAACTTTAACCAAAACAAACATTTTGGCCAATCTTTATGATCTATAACATCCTGGCCCGAACTATACACCAAAATAAACAATTTTGCCAAACCTGATGTTTGACCGTTAACTTGGACGGTCAAACGCGCGCCACGTCACTGCCAAGTCAGAAGATCTGATAAATATTTAATTTTTTCGTTTTTTATTTTTGGTTTAACTAAGGTATTAGATGATTTTTTTAATTTATAATAATTTAAAATTAGGGAATGTGTGGAAATTGTGAATTATTTTAAATATTTTATGCTGACTTGGCAGTGACATGGCGTGTTGACTAACGGTCAACGCGTTTGACCGTCCAAGTTAACAGTCAAAAGTCGGATCTGGCCAAATTGTTTATTTTGGTGTATAGTTCGGGCCAGGATGTTATAGATCGAAAAGATTGGCCAGGATGTTTATTTTGGTCAAAGTTTAGGCCATACGAAAATATTAACCCAAAATTGGAAGTATAGCGAGTGTGATTTGGCTTTGTTTAATTCTTTGTCCATTTTTACTTATGTTAGTAATTACGTATATATCTTCATGACACTTCTAACAACAACAAATAATTATTTTTCTACTTGTGTTTTGTAATATTTGAACCTATATCTATCAAATAAATATTATTTACGTGCCATGTCTGTTCTTACACTCAATAAAGTCTCGAAAATATTAGACCTAACACGGCCACTTATATACCGTGTTGTGCCCGTGCTCGTGCCCATAAAATTTAGGCCCGGAACGGCCCATAAATTATGCGTGCTCTTGCCAGACTGGTCCATTTATTTTGTACCCGTGCTCGTGTCGTGCTCTAACCGTGCCGTGCCGTGGGCGGCACGGCCCGGAGTGCACGTACAGGTGCAAGGTGTTGAAGAGAATTTTTATATGCAAAAGTCAACAATCCTATATGAAAAATAAGGTGATGGCTATACTTATTTTATTTTCATAAATCAGTCAGGGCGAGAAGCCAAAGAAAATTTATTGGATGTCTTGTTAAAGAAGTTGACAGACTAGGTTTGAAAGTGCGGATGTAGCAGTGAAGTGGAATTATTCTTCGCATATTATATATATACAATTTTAAAAAATAAAAAATTTCTTGAAATGAAAAAAACACAACCCCCAATCTTCTAAGAAAACTCAAATCCCTAGTCGCTCCGTCAATCTATCATGTTGGTACCCTCGCTTTACCTATCACTTCTGTTTTTTTTTTTTTATAATTATCACTTCTGTTTCATATAACTGTCCAGTGTCATCTTATGTGCTATGCTGAGAGAAGTGAGCGCGATCTCTCTAAT